GCAGAGCCTGGCCAAGCCTTTTCTTTGCTGACGGCCCAGGCATGGCAGTAGCTGAGGACACCATGGGGATGGGGAAAGCGACAGGCAGATAATGACCCGCCCAACAGCAGCAATTCCCCTGCGAGTCGAGAGCTGGGTCCCTTCTCCCTGACAATTCCCAGATCTGCTCCCTGCTGCTCTTCCAGAACCTCCGTTAGCCTGAGCCTCCTGGGCCAGCTGGGAGTTTGGGGGCAGGGAGCGGGTAAAGCAAATGCCAGAGGGGTTCGAAACTGGACACAGGCCCTTGGTTGTCAGCCAATGAGCTCCCTGGCCCAGCGATTGCATGAGCCGGGGAAGAGTGGGGGCAGGCTGAGGTGTTCGCCAGGCCCTAGGCAGCCCCCAAGAGCCAGGATCTCTGCCAGCTAGGCTGGGACCAGAGCCTCTGAGAGACGGCACAAACAGACCTGCCATTTACCTCCTACTGATGGCACTCATGGCTGTGACCTATTCCCTTCTGTAGGCCCTCTCCCTGCTCCCACTCTCTACCTAAACCAGACAGCCTCCCCTCCGGAGGGCTCCGTGTGGCTCCAGTGCTTTGTGAGTTCCCAGAACCTTGTCGCCCGTGTCATCTTCTGTAAGGACGGGGAGGAGGTTGCAAACCAGACCAGTCTGGAGAGGAAATCTGTCTACGGCTATCCCCATGTGGTGTCCAGGGACAGCGCTGGGGATTATGCCTGTGCCTATGAGATCAAGAACAGCAGCAACCACCTGATCAAGTCCCAGCTCAGCCCTGCTAAGCACCTCCGTGTCACTGGTAAGGTGGGGTGTGTGTGTGCGTGAACCCCGCAACTCAGCATCACATGGGACAGAGTAGGAAGGGAATTGACTTTTCTGTCCCCCCAGAAAGTCTGATATTTCCAATTTCATTTTCATATAGCATCATGAGATGCTTCCTTCCCTGAAACAGGCCACTTCCCACAGGGATGTTTCTTGCCTTAAGGAGCTCGCAACTTCTGTGCTGGGGGAGGGGGAGATTTATTTTCACACACAAAAAAAATATGAGCAAAACCCTTTCATTCAAAACATGTTTCAGGACATTTCAATGTTTTGATGAAAAATATTCATGGAATGCAACAAAAGTATTTCATTTGGTTTCATTTCGTCCAGCTATTTTCCTTTGGCTTGGGTTTTCAGAAACAAAATGAGTCAAGTATGTCAGAAACACAGAGAGAAGGTGGGTGAGGGAATATTTTCCATTAGAACGGACACTGTTGCTGAAAGAAACCAGCTTTTGAGCCACACAGAGCTCTTCTGCCGGCCTAGGAAATCTTTCCTTTCATTTCCAAATTATTTTGGTAGGAAAACTAAAAAGATCCTTGCCTGTGAACTGTTTGGAGGAAAGATTTTGATTTCAATGTAACTGGATTTGGATTAAAAAATGGTGTGTCGAAAGATTTGTGGTAAAACCTCAACTATCTTTACTCATAAAGAACAGCCCATAACGTCACTGTACAGCATGGGTTCCCAAACTGGGGTGTGTGCCCCCGAGGGGGGGGCCTGAAGAAATTCCAGGGGGTGACGCAAGTTGCCCCTCCCCCCCATTAATCCTCCCCTAAGCTGCTATTTTGTTTTTTGGCCCTTGTCAGTTCCTTTTTTTTTCCCCCTCAACAAGTTTTGCTGCTGGGGTTGGGGGGGGGGGAGGGTTTTTCAAAAATCAAAAAGGGAGCATGATGCCGAAAAGTTTGGGAACCACTTCTGTACAGATATCCACAAGGTGAGCTCTCTGGGTATGTTCATGAAGACACAAGGGGTCACTTGCCACAGGAGTCAGATGGCTGATTGGAGAGGCCATTCACATCACAATTCTTTCCTAGGGCCAGATTTAAGGCTCCCGTTGGGAATTACGATCCCTGTCCTCCTGGTGCTGGCTGTGGTGCTTTATCTGCTGGGAAGGAAAGGTGGGTGTGAGAGTGAGGCCGAGCCGTGTTAGCAAATGTACAGACAGACGTGGCAGAGACACCCCCTGAGATCTCCTGTCCCCAGTGTGCCTGGGATGGGGGGGAGAGAGATTAGCAAAGACACAGTGAAATCATGTTTTTCAGAGGATGGCTGGGGACAAAGGTAAAAGGATGATAAAATGCATTATAAATGTGATTCATTATTTGTATTGCAGTAGCACGCTGGGGCCCTAATAAGGGATCAGCCCTCCACTATGCTCGGTGCTGTACATTATTGGTTAGATATGTTACTGGAGTGCCAGCGAGGGATCAGAGCCCCCATGCTTCCAGACGTGCACAGATCATCAATGAAGGGCACAGTCCCTGCCTCACAGATAGTTGCAATTTATGACTCAGCCAGAGGCATGTGTCTGGATCAAATATTTGCACACAGCCCATGAAGGATCCAGGTCGGGAAGGCATTCCCTAGCCAGCAAAGGCCAGTAAGCCCATGCCCATGTATAGGAGTTTTCCTGAATCAGGGCCTAACAACTCTGAACACAGAGCTCTGGGCACAGTGCAGCCCCATAGCCTTTCCTCACCCCGACCAGCGTGAGATGAGGGTTATTAGTTCCCATAATAGACAAATTAGAGGACACCAAATGACATTAATGGGTATCAGGTTTAAAACTAATAAAAGAAAGTTCTTCATCACACCGCCTGTAGTCAACCTGTGGAACTCCTTGCCAGAGGAGGCTGTGAAGGCTAGGACTATAACAGCGTTTAAAGAGTGTGACGGCGTGTTGGGGGTTCCCCGTCTCCTGCACCCCGAAATGGCACAAACAGACTGCACCCTGCTGTTTGTCAGAGGCTAGCGAAGGATGGCAGGAGACAAATCGCTTGATCATTGTCTTCGGTCCATCCTCTCTGGGGCACCTGGTGCTAGCCACTATCGGCAGACAGGCTACTGGGCTAGATGGACCTTCGGTCTGACCCAGTCTGGCCGTTCTTATGTTCTTATTGTGTTTGCTGGAAAATTTGCCCTTTGTAGGACTTCTCAGCTCGTAAGTCCAGGATGTTCTCCCAGGAAATGAGGGTGGCGTGTTTCTTGGTTTTTTGTTTTTAATCAAAGCCAGGATTCTCACTGAACTCCCCGACTCCAAGATTTTCCACTGAACATCAAATGCCTTGAGACTGGCACTAAACTGACAGATTGCCCCTGGGAGTGGTGTGGTCAAATAGGGCTGGTGTGGGACAGAGCTGGACTGGGCCATTGGACATGAATGCATTAATGACCAACGCATTAATCTGGGCCATTCTCTGCGCCAATGCAGTGATGAACTGGGGCTGTGTTGCTCAGTTTCTGTCTCTCTCTGCCCTCTGGGCCATTCTCTGCGCCAATGCAATGAGGCTGTGTTGCTCAGTTTCTGTCTCTCTCTGCCCACCAGGAATCCTGCCCACGTCTCTGATCTCCGTGTTTCACTGCCTTCCAGTCACATTTCCACCAAGGGGTCAAAGGTAGGATCCTTCCTTCTCCTGTCTCGTTTCCTTTCTGGGTCCCTTCTCTCTGGCTGGGGAGGGAGCGGGGGTTACGTGGAAACACTTTAAGAAAGGGGTTTGCCAAAGTGTTGTGTTCCCTTCAAATTCCCCAGCAGTAGGGAACGTGTTTGAAAGTCACCCCCAGGTGTGTGAAAGAGGGGAAGTGAGCCTGTTCTACACTTTGGGGTATCAGAGCTGGTCAGCCACAAAGCTGCACCAGCTGACCCAGAGCTGGGTCTGTTCTTTGGGGCAGGGCTGGGAGCATCTAGGCCTGGCCAAGGGTCTCCAGTCCAAGTAACACCCAACACGAGATCCACCCGCTGCAGCTGGTTCAGTGCCAGGCTCAATACAGCCACACAAGGATTCACCTCAAAACACTGCCAGCGGGTTCCCTGCAGAGGCAGTGATTTGGGTGCAGGTCTGTGTGTGAGGCGGCCACAGTGCTCCCCTCCTCTGCCTGTTGGGGAGAGCCGAGCAGGCACCCCCGTGGGGATTCAGGGCGTACCATATGTGTGAGCAGAGGGGGTTCTGAGCCAGTTGCCTCTGCAGCATGGACCAGAGGAACCAACATATTGGGGCCACAGGCACCAACTTTCCCTCCAACCAGGGGATGCTTGATGCCTCCCCCACTCCAATCCACTTCATCCCTTCCCCTGAACCATCACCTCTGCTCTGCCTCCCCACCCCCCACTTCCCACCTTTCCCCTTCCCCATGCTCTGCCTCTTCCCCAAATGCGCTGCATCTCTGTTCCTTCCCCTCCCTCCAGGAGCATCCCACCCTTCATGGGATGTAGCTGATTAAGGTAGGCAGGAGGTGCTGGGAAGGAGCCGGGGGAGTCAATGGCCCCATCAGTGGGGGAGGGGCAGATGGGCTGTTGGTGGGTGCTGAGCACTTGCTAATTTTTTCCCATGGATGCATCATGGGAAGCAATCTGCTAGCAGCTGGATCACTGGACACAGAATGAGCATCCAGCATCACTAACCCTCCCTGTCCTTATTCCTGCCCACAGGGAACATGTCCAGCATGACACCAGAAATGCTCCTGAAGATCATCTTCACTGTAAGAGCTTTTGGAGAGCATTGGGGTTACCAGCTTCACCTGCTCATAGGGGAGAAATGTGGGGGCTGGGGGTAAATGTGGTAATTGGTGGGGGATGGGCAGATCCCAGGACAGACTGTCTGACAGAGAGTTACAACAACAGCAACCCTGCCTGTGATCAAAATGAATGAGGATAAAGAGTCCTCAGGGGTCCCAAGGCTCGGGCATCTGAGTCCCTAGATTCCTTTACCCCACCCCCTTTGCCTGTAATCCCCTTTGCATTGCCAGGGCTTAGGGGAGTGAGGCAAAGTGTTACCCCTTCCCGTCCCTCACGGAAAGGCCATCTCCTGAGGAAAGCTTCCACTGGAGAGTGTCCCAGTCTCTTCACTGGGCAATGAGGCTGCCTGGTGCTGACCAGTCCTTCCTGCCCTGTGCACACATGGGCCATGGTGTAACACCACAGCAATAAAGTCCCAATACGCTGTATCTTAGCAGGCAACTGGTGCCCACCTATTGGCTTTTTTGTAAGGCCGAAGGCTGAGATACACACATGGGAGATATTCCTGTTTGAAATCCCCTAAGTGTCCAAGGTGTTTGGAAGCCCTGAGGAGTTTGTACCAAATCCCTGAGGGATCCAGGGCCCTGAGAAGTGCAGTCACACGCACAATTCACAGGCTCTGTTCAACTTAGAGTCCAGCTGCCTCAGTTTACCTTTTTATTTTAAAAATTAAATAAATCTTACGCCTGGTTGTAAAATAAAGATCCTGCATGTTTTTCTGTGGAACATTTAGACAACAATGCTTTTTTTTTTTTTGGTTTAGTATTCATCCACATTTTCTGTGGGACATTTCAACTTTTCAATGATAATCAAACATCAAAAGCTTTGAGCTGACAAAGAAAATGGTTTGATTTGAAATAGTGCAAGAGTTCCCTCTTGGAGCTGTGATTCAGGTGCCTTGTGCTCTTGGTCTCCTCTCTCAGCCAAGCTCTCTCACTCTCACCACTTTTTACTCTCTTGGTGATGGGAAATAGTATATGATGGGCTCCTTGGTTCCAGTGCATCATGGGAGTCCCTGGCTGCAGTGCATCATGAGTGATGAAACCCACTCTGTTGAGGAGACGATCAGCATGAGGCAAATGAACTACAAGTCCTATGTGGCACCATGATGATAATATTAATCACAATATATCAGGGTGTAGACAAAGTATTTCCACCCAAATTTTCTGTTGGTCGAAAACTAGCTCTGTCGAAAACCCAGATAAAGAGTTTCCACTGACCTTCTTCCTCAGCTGAATTAACCTTCTGCTTCAATATCCCCTGCTGACCCTGATCAAACTCCATGGCGCTCAGTGCAGCCCTGACCTGTCTGGGGGAGAGCCATGAGCCATGGGGTTCTAGTTTGTGCTCAGCAAAGTTCTGCCTCTTAAGGCATTTACAGCCAAGTGATGATGTGTAACTGTCATTCTCTTCCCAGATGCCTCAATGAACTGGTCAGAAAGCGCCACGGTGAGTCATAGCGTTTATTAACGACAAAATGAGGCAAGAACAGAGAGCGATTGGTTTGCCTGTTCCCACTCGGCAAGGACCCATGAGCTGGGAATGTGGATTTACTCAGGGTTCCCAGACTTCAGATTGTGTCTTTCACTCTCCCCACTTCAGGCCTCCCAGGGTATGTCTACACTACAAAGTTAATTTGAAATAATAGCTGTTATTTCAAAATACACAGCCAAACCGCTATTTCGAAATAAATTTGAAATAGTGGAGCACTTATTTAGAATTTGGTAAACCTCATTCTATGAGGAGTAACACCAAATTCGAAATAGCTATTTCGAATTAAGTGCTGTGTAGACACTTAGGCCGTGTCCAGACTCAGGGGTTTTTTCGGGAAAAGTAGCCTTTTCCCGAAAAAACTTCCCCTGCGTCCAGACTCAAGCTGCGTTCTTTCGAAATTATTTCGAAAGAACGCGGCTTTTCTTTCGATGGCGGTAAACCTCAATTTACGAGGAAGAACGCCTTCTTTCAAAAGTTCCTCTTTCAAAAGAAGGCGTTCTTCAATGTAAAGAGGCCGTCTTCGAAAGAGAGCATCCAGACTCGCTGGGTGCTCTCTTTTGAAAAAGCGGATTTCTCTTTCGAAAGATCCGCCTGCAGTCTAGACGCGATCTTTTGAAAGAGGCTCTTTCGAAAGATGCTTTCGAAAGAGCCTCTTT